AAAACTTTAATTTTAAACTATATCATTTTATTTAATTTAAAATTTAAAAAATTATTTTTTAAATATTAATATTTAAATTTAAAAACTAATTAAAATTTTAAATTTTAAATATAAATTGGGGTTTTAATTTTTTTAAAAGTCAATATTAATATGCATTAATTTCATAATATAATATTAAATAAATAAGTAATATATCATTATAAATAAATTTTTAAATAAAAAATAATTATATAATAATATATTATATTATAAAATTATAAAATTATATAATATTACAATTATAATATTTTTATTAAATTAATCGATATAATTATTTAAAGTTAAAAAAAACAACTCATATAATTTTTTTTATGTAAAATAATTTTAAAAAATACATTATTGTGCCGAAACCTGACCCATGACTGTGATCTGTTTGGTGTCCCACTCCCTACCCACGCCACCAAATTACAACCCCCGTATTTCCCCGTTTCCCCGCCTCCAATTTCTCTCGCAGTTCAAAAGAAAAAGGAGAAAATTACATTATTGTGCCTTAAATTATTGCCAAAAAGATAGTAGTCTCTACCGGTGCCTACCCTAAATGAACTACGAGATAATAAACCATTTTAAAATTTGAAAGCACAAAAACAAGCCAAGCTCTTCATAAAAAAAAAAAAAAAGAAAATGCCAAGATAAGATCAGCTACTTCTTCACTGTAACAAATCACTGTCCACAGCCGCGACGGCAGATGTCAGGGAGTAGCTCCGGTTATCGTTTTCTTCTCTTCTGTCACGTGCGGTTTCCCTGACCTAATCATTTTTGGTTTACGATAAATTACATTGCAAATTTCGGGATTTTTGGAATCTTTGGAAGCTTCTTTCTACTTTACCCTTGTTGGATCATTATTCATAACAGTTTCCACTTATATTTCCCTTGCATTTTAAGATTCCCTTTGAAGTTTTGTAATTAAAGTAGATTCTTTGCTGTTTTAGCATCTTCAATTGTGGGTTGTTTCTTCTTTACAAATTCTTTGCACCCAAATCATAAAAGGGCTTTTCTTTTTTTCTTTTTTTTTTTTTTGGTTTTACCTTTCTATTCGAATTTTGGTTCCCAAACTGCTCTTTATTCCTGGGGATCTTGAGTTTTTTTTTTTTTTTTTGATTTGCATGTTGTGCTATTTACTCCCTGGAGAGAGTGGTTTTGATACTGTCTGTATTTTACTTAAAATGGATTTCCATTGTACATATGTAGATAATGTTCATTTGCTTATATTACTATTGGCATGATTTCAGCTTGTAGCAAACAAGAAATGCAACTTTGGAAACCATATAAACTGGGCGGGCATCAATCACATGGATTGCAACTTGTTTTCCTTTTTGTGACATTTTCTGCATGGTGAATGTTAACAGTAAGGCAAGCCATAGTTTGAACAAGGATTTGCTGTATCCTTGCAAATCCTGTTGTGTGGCCCATTTTTTGTGAAAGTTGTGTGGGAACTGCAACAGGATTTTGGGAGTATGTATTAAATTACCCTCATCAGAGACAAAATCAGGCAACATTAAACAATGTTTGACCTCAGAAGAATGACAAAAATATATCTATGGATATGCAAGTTTCATCGAAAATCCTGGACATTCTGTTCTAGATTCTATCTATAGATCTTTTGTCATTCCTCATCCTGGACTGGCAGGGGGAACGAAACCCTGAGACGAAGCAACTTTCGGACACTGTCATGTTTTCTCAAGCAAAGATTTCAACGTAGTCAGGGACGGACCAGAAAATAATTTTAGGGGGGCGAAGTACCATGTGAAAAATGTGCATGGTACTTTATAAACAGAGAAATGATATACAGGATGATTTTGGGGATTTTGGGGGACAAAATTGAAAGGCGATAAGTGAAGCAGTTCCAACAATAATTACCAATTTAACCTTGCTTCACTTGTCATTCTTCAGTTTCGTCCTCCAAAATCATCTTGCGTATCATTACTTTTATAAATAAAGTTAAGATTTAAATATATAAAAATTAAAATTTTAGAGACTTTAAATGTAGAAAAATTTGTTAAAATTTGTATTAAATTTCAATTTGAAACATAACTTTTATAATAAAATATTACTTCATATGATCTAGATAAAAAAATTATATGTTTTAAAAAATTGATAATACCAATTTAAAGTCAATTTTATTTTGTTATTTGATATAAATAATAATTAACTATGCATATATTGCAATGATAATATGTCAAATAAATAAAAATATTTTATTAAATTTATTTTACTTGTCAAGTGATTAGTAATTTATCAAAAAAATTATAAAAAAATAAAAATTAGAACACATCATTTTATTTTTTTCAAAAAGGGTTTTTTTTTTTTATTTTAAAAGTATAGGACCTATTTAATTCTTTTTCAAAAGTCTAGGCGGGGCGAGCGCTCCCCCTCGCACCCTCCTGGCTCCGTCCCAGAACGTAATAGCCTCCTTTCTACATTTATTCACTAGGACAGAACCTTCTTCTACCCTAGTAGATGCTGCTCTACTAGAATTGTAATCTTCATAGTGTGGAGTTCTGATGGCAATTATTTAATCTGTCTGTGATTTCTTATTAAATTTTTGATAGGCGTGTTGATGCCTAGTTGTCACCTCAGCAAGAGGTTCATTCTGGGATTGCCCGTGGAATCTGTCACCCCATAATTACTTCTGGGAACGTTCCTTGTCAGAGGAAATGGTCTGAAACGGTTTATCGTTGGATTGGAATCTGTTACCACCATAGACATGCTCCTGGGGCCGGGGTGATACCTTGTCCAAGGAAATGGCCTGAAATAGTGGTTTGAGAGATTGAAATCTGTCACCACAGACATACTCTCGGAATTTTCCCTCTCCCAGGCAAGGGTATGAAAGAATTGATTCTGGAATTGCCTACTTTTATGGTGCTTAGGAGTCACTCTTGCCAATGACTTGATAGGTGAAGCTACTTCAAGTACTTGTTGATGCCGAGCATATTATATGGAAGATGGTAACCCCTGGCTTTTAACAGTTTATTAAGTGTATGATTAGGAAAAATGAAGAAAACTTTCCCTAGATGCAATACTGACTCAGGTCTAACAACGACCCATGGATACTCAAACACATCTGGTCGTGTAACACAGTGTTTTGGGTTCTTCTTTATCACTTCTGCAGCAGTGATAGGCTGCTTGTATATATCCACAAACCTGCCTCGATACACCAGTTTCAGCACGCCTTACTCGCCTGTTACAACTCCCATTTCTCTGGTTCTCATCAGTAGTAAAAGCAAGTGAACATTGACGAAGAGGGAATGCAATTCATCAGCCTGCATGTTCTTACAGGCCTTCCCCTCTTGCCCGGTGACAAAACTTAACGGATAGCACAAGGATAATCTTTGCAGAAATGAGTATGGTATTTGTACCGTTCACTAGCCTTGGCTGTAACGTAGACATTTATCATTATTCTAGTCTATTTTTAATAGAGCCTATATCTTTACGATATGATCAAAGACGGTATTGAACAATGACCGCAGGGTATGACGTTTAAGTCTTCTAGAACGACGCTCGATGTCAAAGGAAGGCAGTTTCTTTATCAAATTGCATATCAAGGAGAAAGAAAAACAATGACATTAAAACAATAATATGTCTCTCATAAATAAAATATTAAACGGTTCTACCACTCCTCAGTCTGAACAGATATAAACAAACTTAAGTAAACAGGGAACTAGTATAATCTTATTGTGAATTCCTTTCAGATTTTACCATGGTATTGATACTCAAGCTGATTTTGTGTAGAAGCGGATGCCAAGAGCCAATCCCAAGATTAGCAAGGGAACTAGGAATTGAAGGAGCTTGATAACAAACTCTGATGTCTTGTCTTGCTCATAGTGAGGCTGCTTAGGAGGGGTATACTTGGTCTTGGCAGGAACGGTTGATGTATTGATGTCACCTACATAATACTCATCCATCATGGCTTTGGCAGTGCTGCTGTGACCAACATCCTCGAAATCATCAGTTGCGTCCTTCCCTGCAAAATAGAATCAAAACAGCATTACTTTTACCAGTTCTATTGCTGCAGAGGTTACCCAAAGTATGCCCAATGCTCACAGTTTTGTCATACCTGTGGAAGACAACAAGACCTCATCACCACCAGGATGGTCTTCCAAGAATTTTGTTACATTGTATACCTGTCCCAGCAAATAGATTTAGTACTCTATGATGTTAAGACAAATATCATGATGCAGAATCAAAATTGATCGAGTTGGCATTAGTATTAATCTGCCTAAAACTTGATGTGAGTGCAAGATTGATTGCCAAATCTGCTATCTCACTATTGGTTACAACAAATCTCGAAAATTGATTTTAACTCATGATCATGGATCTAAACCTTGTAAATTTTACAATATTTTAGCTTGCTCACAATGCTATTAACAATATTATGGAGGATGAAATTGAGCCAAAGGATGAAAAATTGACACTCATGTCTCATATTGAACTGTCATTCATAATGATGAAGTTCATCCGCCATGAGATCCAACCCATACATACTTTATTAAACAATTCATGGAGGATGGATATGCAGACTTCTGAACCTCCATGAATGCAAATGACAGTCATTTCTTTCGCGACCAAGAGTCCAATGTCCTTAAATTAAAACTGTCTTACCTGTTTCCTGTCTACCTATCTTGACTCAAGAGTAATCATTAGTAAGTTAATTTTGTGTCTGAGGCAATCTAAAATCTTGTTTGGAATCATTTTAGTAAAGAAACAGTCAACAGAAACTGATCTAACACTAGACATGGAGTTCACTAAATATCAAGTCCTCATCAGTAAGTTTTTTACAGCTTCAATAAATTAAATAACAATATCATTATCATCTATCAGCCAAGTGGTTATAATTCCACTAAACCTTGTACCACATTAAAAATATAAAAATAATACCAAGTGTTGATACAATGAAAAGGGATAAAACTCTATATGATGTTGAAGCACACAGGTACAGACAGAGCAGCTAAGAGAACAAAATATAGATCTTCAAATATGAACCAAACCAACAGAGGCAAAACATCCCCACATTCAAATAGCAAAACCATAATGACCCTTATGAAACAAGAATATTTACGGTGGATAAAAGACTTCAAATATTTACTTAAAAGACGAACAAAATTGAAATAATTCAATCCTTCATGTAGTAAGCATATGGGAATTTTGGACTGGAGATATTCATGCTTTTTATATATCAAATCGGAATTGTGAATGATCAACACCTTAAAAGAAAATTCCTTTCGTGTTCCCAGTCATCACAATGAAAAAAATCGAAAACCAGAATTGCCAATCAACAAAACCAATGTAACAAGACACACCAAGATGAAAGTATCAAAATTTCATTGCTGAATGGTCATCATTCATGCAATTTCAATTCTCCTAACATCAACAAGAAAATTAAGATCCAGAATCGAATAATTAACAATAAACAGGTTTCTCTAGATCCAATCAGTCTCACTCTTCTTACTATAAACCATAAAAAGTCAGACTTTTTTCAGAAATGAAAACAAATAAACAACATCCAAAATCAAAAAACACAACCCAATAAGGCTCTACCCCAGATTGAATCAGATGGGAATTGAAGTAACATGAATACCTTGCCGTCAATTACAAGCCAGCAGTCTTTGGGGGTGTTGTGCTCGGAGACCTCAGCTAAAGTATAGACCTTTCCACCACCCATGTTTTGCTTCTTTGAGAAAAGAGCAGGGTTGAAACCAAGCTCAAGTAGTCCTGTGCCTACCACAGGCGTCGTGGGATTTGGAACCAAAAGAGGAAACGGTGGGCTGGGGAGGCAAGGTCAATGGCTCACTGGTGGGGGTATTTGTATTGGATTGGACGCGTGGGGGTTGGTGAGGGTGAAATGGTTGTGACACCACCAACCTTTGACTGTGATAACTGGAATCTGTGATTTCATTTGTAACCTCTGTTCTTATTTGAAATTGTTTTTTGGTCCCTCTAGTTGGTCTTTTGTTGTCATTAAGAGAGGTTGTGTCAATTTTGGATATATATATAGAATTTGTCTAACATGTGCAATCAAAGTATAGGTATAGGTTAAAATGTAATAAATATATATTTTTATAATTAATTTATACAAAAAAATAAAAATTAACTTTTATTTTAGTATTTTTGTCATGTAATCAGTTTTAATTAATTAATTAATTAAATTTAAATTAATTTTTATCATTTTTTGTATATGTATATAAAAAAATAAAAATTAACTTTTATTTTAGTATTCTTGTCATGTAATCAATTTTAATTAGTCAATTAATTAAATTTAAATTAATTTTTATCATTTTTTGTATATGTTAATTATAATAGAGTGCATTTTTTACACCTTTATCTTGTATTCTAAGAGCACAAAATAGAAAATTCCATATATATATAATATTAGTATGTACCAATTTCAACTCTTAAAAATAATTAAAATTCTAACTTATATTTTAAAATTGAAATCTTATGTTGATGTTTAAATTTAGAAATTCATTATATATTCTAATATATCAATATTTAATAAAATAATTTTTTAAATTTTGAATTGAGTTTTAATTAAATAAACACGACATGATTTAAGATTGAAACTCCAATTATTTTTAAAAATTAAAACTAATATGTATTTTTTTATATATAAAAATTATTTTATAATTCATATTATATTAAATTATAAACTAAAAATTATTAGAGAGAAAAGGATTCCTAATATTAGCATACCTAATTTTTATTTAAAAGTTAGTATTGTAAAAAATAATATTTATTTTTATAACTTTTTATAAAAATTTATTATAAAAGTGTAATTAATACACTACAAATACAAATTAAAATAATTTTAAGAAAAATTATGTTATTGTTTGAGAATTTTTTAAAAAAAATTTATTTATTAATATGAGTACTAAATTCTATAAAATATTAATTAAAATTAATTTAATTATAATAAATTAATACTTTTACAACTATTGTATGAGCAACAAATGCAACTTAAATCCTCATTCAAAATTAAAACAAATTAATTACATTAAATCGTAGAACATAAATGTATTTATAAAAAAGATAACGGAACTTAAATGTTAATTATATAAAAAAAATCTGTTGTATCTCAGATATACCATGTGAACCGAATTCAGACTAATTACAACATGTTACATCTGTTTTTCATTACATGACAATTTTTTTTTTGAGGATCTGTTAACTTCTACCTTGTATTATAGGTTAAATTTAATTAAATATAGTATTTTAAATTAATTTTGTGTAAATTTTTATATTAAAATTAATTAAAA